CTCACCTCCACATCAACAGCTTTTCCAAGGGTTAAGAAACACTGGTCTGGCTGGGGAATTCTGGGAGTTGAAGTCCACACCTCTTAAAGTTGCCAAGGTTAAGAAACACTGGTCTGGCTGGGGAATTCTGGGAGTTGAAGTCCACACCTCTTAAAGTTGCCAAGGTTGAGAAACACTGCACTAGGCCATGCTAAAATGGGGCAGGGTACTTTGTGGTTCAGTACATTGTGGGAACTCAACTCTTGAGGTCTGCCAGTCATACTACACCCCCTGGATGTATAAGCAGTTGCAAACTCTTCCTAATGGATGATATTTTCCTGCCTATAAATCACACCAAATGTTCAGAAATTCTTGGCGGGTGGGGGAAGAAGTCAACCTCTTCAATCACAGTGCAAAAGCCAAGAGGCACATGTTCATGTGTACTTTGTGCTTGGTGCTGAGGCATGCGGGAGGAGAAGAATTGAACCATGGCTGATTGCAATGCACCACCTTGGGGTTGCAAGCACACAGCCAGGGCTAGTTACAAACTGGCTTGTTTTCCACATCTGGCAAAACCCATTGTCTTAGCATGTTATGGGAACAAGACCATTGTATGAAACATGATATGGTTATGCATATCATCATAGGCAGCCCAGGACAAGCCATGATGATGTCATGTGCATTATGACATCACACAAATGTGACTGGCGCAAATTACAGAATTGCATCATTTGTATGATGATGTCATCAGGCATGTGATGCTGTCATGAGATGTGATGTTGTTGTGAGAAAAAGGAATCTTTGGGTGAAAAAGACAAGTTTTTAGAGGCCTCAGATGAATGGGATCACCTTAATAAGATTGAAACATAAAGGCATGTGGAAGCATCCTTGAAGCTGATGTGAACCAGGCCGGTTGTAAACTCCTTATCACAAACATTCCCATAGCAACCTGGGCATCTGCCCTGAGGGAGGATGCCTTCTTCCTGGCATTTGGCCCTGGGCATCTGCCCTGAGGGAGGATGCCTTCTTCCTGGCATTTGGCCCTGGGCATCTGCCCTGAGGGAGGATGCCTTCTTCCTGGCATTTGGCACCTTGAATTAATTTGTGTCTTCTTCTCTGTGACACTGTTGTTTTACTAGCAGTTAACAGATAACAGAGGGGCAGAGAG